ACACACACACACACACACACACACCACCACTCCACCCTGCACAGCTGCGGTCCACTTGCACCTCCACTCCACCCACGTGTGATTAATACAGATTTTTTTTTGCGCAAATTACAGATTTTTGATGCTCATTACACAAGTAACCGTCTAAAGGGGTTGACATGTGGACTTTAAAGTCCCAGGCTGGTCAGAGCCACGATGCGCGTGGAGAGGTGCAGCTGCTGGTCAAGCTGCCTCCCTGAGGCCTCGCTTTAAAAACAGTCAGGTAATCTGTCGTGGTTTTGTTGTGCTCGAGTCGTGAACACACAGTGTTCTGGTAGAAATGCTGTGAGCTGCTTTTAGGAATATAATATATATATAAAATTTGGCGTAATCCTCGGTGGAAATAGTCCAGGAAACGCTGAGGGCTTTCCTGGGACATGCTCGCCTGAGCCAAGCTGACCCTCCATCAGAGAGAGGAAAAAGGCAGCACTGTCAGTCAGACGGTACGACCCGCCCTACTCTGTTCTGACTGGGTAAAACTTTGACTTTGGTTCTCTTTATTGGGTGAAAGAACCGTCAGTTGAATCCCTAGACAGCTTTAACAAGTTTCTTTCTCTCCCGTTCATTTTTACAATGACGAACACACGCGGAGGAAAACTTTAATCCAGGTTTTTTTTTTCTTGGGTTGTCCACCGGACAACTGGGAGGTGGGATCTGGTTCAGAAACGAAAATAGGTCGTCTCGGACAAACTAAACAATGATTGCGTCAACCCCTGTTTTACGTTGATAAAAAAAAAAACAAAAAAAAAAAACTTCATTCCGAAGGTGTGGCGGCTTTTATTTAGCCGTGGCGGTGCGCCACGATCATTTACATGTAGTGGAAACCCTGCAAACAGATACCACTTGACCAACCATTTCCCCTCCCAAAACAGAAAAACGAACAGCAGCAACTGGGAAATCAACATCAGACTTTAATATTGGCCCAGTTTTATTTATTGGTCCGATAACGATATGCTAAAAAAATAGCCACCATTTGCCGATACCAATGTTAATGCTTATGTATCGTGCATCCCTAATTAAAATTCAGACATTAAACAATCACAAGAGTACCCTGCCTGACCAAAAAAGATTAAAAACTGATGTGATTACCTGAGGTCCTTGTAAAATATCTGTGACATGCTTTGGTTGAAACACACTAGGTTTAAAAACAAAAAGCCATGTTTCAGCTGCCTTTGACTGACTGATACAAAAAGTGCCTTCTTGTTCCTTTAACCATATAAGCAAGAAACATTTTGTTGCTGTTTCTGTTTCAGAAGGGTCAAATTATTGGTATGCCTCAAATAAAAAAGTCACTGAAAAAGACAATTCATTCTACAAAAACAAGGAATTAGGCAAAAACTTAAAACGGTAACCGAAGTTCAATATTGAACCCCTAATAAAACTTGTATTTTCAGACACACTAAAGGCTTTTTCAGGAGACAGTACCGCTAAATGGGTGAACAGCACATTCTGTGTTGACACTCCCTCTGGCAGTCTGTTACAGTGCTCAAACACAATTTCAAAGAACATTTATCAGTGTGGGATCAAGTGAGGCATGAGAAACAAAACCTCAGTTGCTCTGACATGTTGCTGTCACTCAAGCTGCTGATGAGTTGCAGGACTCTTGCCCCTTATTATACTGCAGAGATCAAAATTTGATCAAGTGCATCTAATCAGAGTCTTACCAAGGTTGTATCCACGCTGCTGCATAATGTTAGCCAGTCTTTGTGCTGATAGTTTGTTTTTATTTTCTCCTCAGCACATGTATAAAATGAGGCTAAAAAAAGGTGTTTAATCTGGTGTTGATTTAACAAATTTGCAGCTGGGTGGTTCCCAGAGGTGTCAGTCAGCACTTCACCAGCCACCTTCTCAGGAGTTGACATTTATTGTTTGTCACTACCTCGCTCTGATGTACAGAGGCAGGGCTTCTGCGCCCCTCTCCACCTCAGAGCCTTCCAAACGGATCAACGTGGTCAAAACACGCGTCATTAACAGTACAGGATGTCTTCTGAAGGAGTCTTAAATTAACTTTTAAGCAACATCAATGTGAAACTTTTCTATGTTAGATCTGAAGATGGCCCAGCTCACCTCCCCCAGGCAGGGCTGAGCCACCAGCACATCACTCTGTGCCTCTACACAGTCTCTTAGAGCCTTCGGCACCGGGAAGCTGGGCAGGAAGTTTGGCAGCCGTCGTTTACTAAACCTAGAAGAGCAAACGACAACGTACTTCATTTTCTTCTAAATGATTTCAGTGAAATTATCAACACATTTTTTGAAAAAAATAGCTTTTATATTGATCATGTGTCTATTGCAATACTGTATATATTGTTATTGAATTAGTGCCCAGCCCTAACTACATCTTAAATAAGCACATTTTTCCCTTAAATATCATTTTAATCTGTTGGTCTGATACCTTGGGGCCTCTTTTGGAGCAGACACAGTGATCACATGAGGAGACGCTTTTAACAGCAGCTTGGTATCAATGGGCTTGTAATAAGGCTCAGAGGGCTGCAGCAGGTTTTCATTCTCACAACAAACTGTCACCTCCAGGCGCCGCCCGATGGTGAAACTAGAAAAATGCAGCAGCAGAAGCTCAGCACAGCTTCCCAGACTTCTAAAAAATTAAGAAAAGAGAGAGAGAGAGAGAGAGTCTGTTAACCCTGCTGTCACCAAAATAGCATTTTAAATTTATCCTTTAACATAACTTACTTTGCTTGACAGGATATTACAACAGAGAGTCTCTCTCCAGGAGATATTTTCACCTCCAACTCCGCTTTTCTCACATCACGTTGATGAGCAGTGTCCTCCTTTGAATCCTTGACTTGGTTTTCTGAGGACTGAGAGCAGTTTTCTTTCGAACAGTGTCGTCCTGGGCTCTGTGACGTAGATTTCTTGACAGTAAACACGGTGAACTGTTCTTCAGAATCCCAGCCAGCAAACTCACAACCCTTCAGCGTGTGCACCTCAGAGCCTTGATTTCTGTCACATTTTTTGCAAAAGAGAAAAAAACGGAGTGAAAAAAATTTTACTCTGTAAAAGTTCACTAAAGTTTTGTTATTCCCCACTTTTAAAAGAACTGTCAAAATGATTAGAAGAACTCACTGTATCCAGATCACCAGCTCTAGTCTCTCCCCAAGATTTGCTTCTCCGAACTGACCGTAGTCTGAAACGTCAAGGCCTTCTTTGTTTTCCAAGACTTCAGTTTGCAGAAGAGGCGTGGCAGAAATGTTCCTACTACAATAAAAAAAGAAGAAAACATGCAGGTTCAATTAATATGAAAAGGATAAATATAGATTTAAAGTTAAAACAACCAATCAATTTGCATCTATTGCCAAACTTCTGAATCAGCAGCTAAACAAAACCATGGATTCTCCGGTGAACCTATGAAACTGCTGTTCAGAGTTTGCAGACTCAGTCAAGGATTTTTCCTGAGAACCTAATAAAGGATTTCCAGAAACAACTGCAGTTTTGTGGAAATAGCGGTTGCCTAATTTACTTTTGTGGCAACGCACAATTTTTCAACCAAAGAGCTGTTAAACCCTCTGCTTTGCTGAACAATCTTTATCTGCATTACATTCCTTCATCACACTGCACGGATAGTTCATCAGCACCATCACATTCTGCACCCACAGCTTCCTGGATGTTTTCTTTCCAACGTATGCAAACTGAGCAACAAACTGGATAAAGTTAAAGTGGGCCTATTATGCAACACTCACGTTTTTCATGTTTTTAAACATAAACTTATTTTTAGGTCTCTACTGCTTAGAGAAGCAGTCCAAACACAAAAAAAAAAAAAAAAAAAAAAAAAAAAAACCCCCCCCGGGTTTTTTTTTTTTTTTTGCTGTAATGGTGCGTTCACACCGAACGCGATTTCAGCGTCAAAATCGCAGCCATCGCTGAAGTTTGAAGCTTGTGCACTTTGAGGTCAGACGCAGGACATCTGCGCTGCACGGCGACAGCCGCCCCGCCCCTCCCTCCTCTGTCCTCTGTCGGGCTCTGTTTAATGTCGGACGAGGAAGTGGCTTTGCTTTATTTACAGACAGCCAGAACGTGTCACGTTCATCAGATAATTAATTCATAATTAATTCACCAGATAATTCAGAGAAGAGGCTCACAGCTGCTTTCAGGACTATTTTTTCAGTCTGATGAGTCGCTGCCACGCATTGCTGCGGATCAGGACACGACTGCAGGCACTGGATTTCAGCTAAAGAGCTCCTCTCCATCTGTTTCAGGTTAGTGGACATAATTCAGTAAACTGTCCCGTCGGGAAATATGTCTCTACGTCACACAGTGGAGTCTCTCTGATTGGTTGACGCTGCGCGTCGAGCTGCAAAAGTTCAGATTTTCTAACTTCAGCGATTTGGACGATCTGAGCGTTCGACGCTCAGATCGTCCAAATCGCGCTGCTCTAATCGCGCTTGAGGCGCCGCAGAACTTCCCGACGTTGCTTGAAGCGCGTCCACCATAGACTTTGAATGTAAACCTGCTGCTCCTGACGCTGAAATCGCGTTCGGTGTGAACGCACCATAATTTCATGTATTTTTAGGTATGTGGAAACATGGTATTTCTCAAAGCACGTTATTCTGACATCACAATAACAGTCACCTAGCAGCCTAAACCAGAGTCCTGCTCCTCATGAGGCAACCCGAGGTGAAGCTCCGCCCACTTCCTCATAAGACGATAGTTGTTCTGTTTTTACAGCAACCATGGAGAACAGAGATGCCTGGATTCATTTTATTTTTGTCTTTGATGACAATGTTCTAACAATATTGCCAAAGAAAGCTGTAGTTTGTGAAAATAATTTCACTTTGGAAACTTCTACCATGTCGGGGGGCGGAGCTAAAGTAAACAAACGGATAGGGGGGATAGAGGGGGGTTTCCATAGCAACTTCTGCATACAGCACGTTCCGGTGAGAGCTGAAGAAGAGGAAGAACTGAAAAGGTGAAATGTCATTATTTGAGATTATTTTTGTGAATTAAATCAAATGAACATGTTTTGTATAGCCCACAGATGGATCCTAACTTGTGCTAAGATCCCCATAATAGGCCACCTTTAAGCTTAAGGTTGCAAAATCCTAACATATGCAAATGTACTTTGAAACTAACTTTTTTTAAACCACATCCAAAATTACACCCCCCCCCCCTCCCCCCTCAAATCATGGGTGAACTAAACGGTGGCAAATTTCAGGGGACTTCTGTAATTATCAATCACACGTCATTACTTCCTTGTTTAACACCAAACGCAGTACCTCTGAGGGCAGGGTGCCATGCACAGGGCCCTCCAACTGTACAACGACTGAGTGCTCTCCACCATCACCACGTTGACCAGGTCCCCCTCTAAAGGCTGGTAGTGAGCAGGCAGCAGCAGAGAGTTCAAGCTGAAGAAAACGCTGTCCTCCACCACGCCGTTGGTGCCGAACACGCTAGTCACACGGACCTGGAGGCGGGCGGTTATTGGGAGAAGAGAATGAAATAAGGAACCTGGTTTGGAATTAAAACTTCTCTGCAAACTTAATTTGGTCGGAAACACACAGAAATAGTGACAGTAGTAGTATATGATCGAGCATTTCAATTATGAGATAATAGTTACTTGGTCCAGGCGGCTATAGCGTAAAGGGGTCACAGAATGAGCTTGTGTGGTCCACTGGGTTGGGTTAATGAAATACTGGGCTTGGACCCAGTCTCCTTTCATTGGCTCATACCCTGTAACAGAAACTCACAATAAGTAACCTTGAGCAGCAAAGATCATAAATTAAATCAGGCTAATAAATGTTGGTATATTTGTAGGCTTGTTACATAAACTAAAAGTAAAAATGTTTAAAAGAATAAGTGGATAAATGGATCAGTAAGGTTGAAAAGAGACTATTGTTTACTGTAGGTCTAGAGAAATACCTTCAATAACATTAGATAGGCTAAGAGGGTCACAATTCTAGCATGTAAAATCCCATATAACCGACAGGTGGGGGCCAGATTTGGCAATGATGGCACTGTTTTTAAGATGGAATGCCACAAGTGGCCCAGTTGTGGTTTGCTTTATGTGGTGATGAACAATGCATGGACCACCTCTGGCAAACCACATCTGGGCCACCAAAGGGCCGTCAGTCTTTGCATTAAATGTTTTTTTTTTTTCCAGCTAGCAAGCAGATGGCCCAAAACCAAGTGTTTTTGTGAACGGCGAGAGATATGACAGAGTTTGGGCAAAATGTGACATTTGCCAGAACAGGAACACATCGGATGTGCAATCAGTCATAAAATAGATATATTTCAGCTGTGTAATTTGCAGTGTGTGATGTTTGGGTGTTTTGTTGTTTTGCGGTATAAATTTTGTGCACTTGTTTCTAAACTGTTTATTTTCTTTTATCTGCTCAGGACAACAGATGAAATTTAGCTGTTGTGCTTATTCCAGAACATTTATATTTATGAAATACTGAACAATGTGCATTGTCACTTAAAATAAATGAAGGGAATGAAATGGGCCGAGTGTTGTGAGTATTGTGTGGGCCAGACGTGGGTCCCACAAATTTTGCTGTGTGGAATAAAACTAGTATACCTTGCAAAAGAGAGTGGTGTGCAAAATAAGTAGTCTGATTAATGTAGCCATCGTTGCCATCAAAAGACGTGACAGTCCCAATGAGAGGTCTCAGCTGCAAACTGTCAGCTTCTAAAGAGGTTCTTCCACCATCGTCCCAGGCGTCTGAACTCTTCTCCACCTGGATGGTTGTAAAAAGATTAGACAGGATGTCTGACAAAACTCAATATCAACGCCTTACCTAAAGAGAAACGTTAACTTTTACTGAAGATTTCCCTTCAATCAATCCCTAAAACTGCCAATAAACTGCCAGTAATGCAGTTTTGCTCACCCTTAAAGCCTTCCATCCTCCTTCAACACCATCTCTTAACGCTATGCAGTTCACGAGGTCACCTTTCTTCAGTAGCATCCCACCCAAAACCACATTACTTGTGAAAAAGACGGCATCATCAATCATGCCATAGTCCAGACACAGCTGTGTCACCACGCTGCCTCGCAGGTGGCGAATGTCCTCTGCCCCTAGTCAGCAATCATGAAAGATGGAATAAAAAAAGACACACTGAAATGAACTAATGTGGTTAAAAGATATGAGAGACAGAGAAGAGACATGCTGGAAGGATTCAGAACAATTCAAGAAGCATTCAATATTTCAAATTTATCACAGAAAGATTCAGGAAGCAAAAGCATTAACATTTTAATTAGATTTTTCAAGAAATCAAAGTTAATTAACATAATAAGGTTTTTTAAGTAAGGAAAAGATTAACAAATACAAGTACAAAAAAAGAGTCAAAGTAATAAACAATACAGACAACGCAGCATTTTGACCCACACTCCATTCTAGTAGGTGGYGGTAATGCACACCACAAGTTGTTTGTCAACCACCAATATAAAAAAAAATATGATGATGAAGAAGAAACTAATGTGGTTGTGTGGCTTTTTAGATTAGTTTGTTCTCTCAGTCTAAAACAGGCCTGTTAGCCTGTCTACAGGCCCAGCAGGCCTCCTTTGGAAAAACAGATCTGTGTGGGACTTGTCTGGTTAAGTAAAGATTAATAAATAATAAATTTGTTGGTTTAAGTTTGTTTCCTGACAGCGTGTTTTAGCATTTACCCGAACAATCAAGGAAGCCATCTTCATCCGCATCAACTGATCTCCACAACGGAGAAACCAGTCTGGACAGCATCCACCGCACAGCAGTTAGCATGGCTGCGAAATGTTAGCTAGATAAAAGGAACTGTTCACAGAAACAAAAGAAAAGCATAAACGTCGAAATTTTCAAGTATCATTTGTAACATTTGTTTTTAAATAAACTTTCCAAACACCACATTTAATTACGGTCCGAGTTGCTCACAAAAAATTTAGCTAGCTGTTCAAAATAATTAAGAAATTGCGTTAGCACAAACAAAATAAAGGACAGCTAAGAGTAAAATATCTTTACAGAGCTGTAAAAATGTATTGATATTGTACCATACCTGTGATTTGGTGGCCACATTAAATGTTAAACAAGTAAGTCACATGTGGACTCCGACACCTCTTTGCACCGCTTTGCATCAGGTGTGTGCGCGACTGCACGTGCGCAGCAGCGTAAGGTTGCGTCACGAAGGTGGGTTCATGAGAAGCTTCGAAGATAACCTCGACTATACGTAACCTTCATGTAGCGCAAAGCACGCTGCAAATACTGAGTTTTAGTTGTAGGTTTTGATAGATGAGACACTTTGGCTAAAGGTTGAGCGTGTCAAACCTACAGCCTGAAGAAACTGGACCTGTTCCTTATCAGTCAGCCGGCTGATGGCGCGGCTGTAATGACGAGCGGCGAAGGCGGAGTTTTTTTTTTTTTTCCTTTGAATAGAGCGAATACACTTCAGTGACTTTACTCGTTTATCTAAGTGTAAGGGCCATGAAAATAATCCAAAAATGTTTGAATCTAACATTTGGTTGTTTGAACTGATGTGCAAACTCTGCTTACTCGATGCACTGCATCGTTCACGTCAGTATAAAAATGGAGTCAATCCAGTGACAGAAACGTTGCGATGATGCGTTCAAGTGCGGTTGGAGCGAAAAGAGATAAACGTTTCTTGACCAAGCAGCCTAACAGAAGTGTAATCTAAGACAACTTTATTTCAAACCCAGACATTTAAAGTATTTAAGCCTGTGTTGACTTGAAGTCTGAGTCTGATATATATATATATATATATCTCCACAGATGTTTGTATGTTTCTTTGAAATTATTTTCAATGCAAATAAAACAACAGCACAATATTTTGTTCCAGTTATGTCTGCTGCACTACAGAGGTGATGCTTTTTTGTTACTTTTTCCGCTGACAGAATTGATTTTAATAATAAATATTATTTTTTAACAATGGTTTTGTACAATATGTAGTACTCCAAAATATGTGTTGGGAATGACTCTCAGCTCTGACAACATCACATTTTAGCTCAACATAGATGGACTGAGTTATGGACATTATTTTTTGCTAAGTTATTCGGGGTGCACCATAGAGAAATTATGCTTAGGGCCCCATAAAACTTTGAGCCAGCCTTTACACTAAGAGATTATTTTTTGACAGTTTCATTAAAATCTGTCCTCTGATTAAATGGATATTTTGCTAAAAGAAAGTTGACTCTAAAGATTAACGGCAAAGTTTTAAAACCAGCTCAGGTTGGAAATGACTCATCTACTACCACACCAAATTGTAGCTCAATAGAAACCTGACTGATTTATAGCCATTTTGTGTCAAATAATACAGATAAGCTGTGGTGGCCATCTTGAACTGGGTTGACAACAAATAAATATTTTCTCAAATTTTCCTTAAAGCCCATCCACCGGTTCACAATTTGTTGTGGTGACTCTGCAAACAAACAACTATATGCTCACAGACATGAGCAAATTATTATTGCCTAATTTGTATAGGTGGTGGGCGACAAGCATCCCAAAAGTATACAATTCAAATGAATGCACCAATAATAAATCTTAATAAACATTACTTTGACACAAATCTACAAACCGGTCCCACAAAAAAAAGAAGTTCTCCCCTGTTATTATCAACAGAATATCATTGTGCCCCGCAACAACTTATGTTGACCACAAGAGGGCAGTAGTATCACTCTTTGTGTTCCTATTACAGTGCAGGGCAAATAAAGCCAAGACAGGGAATACAGAAGATACACGTCGGTATGTTGTTACAACTGGAATATAAAAAAACATACACATTTAAAAACCTTAGAAAAATATGATATTATTTGTGTTTTTACACGTGTGTTTTTGCTTGCATGTGTTCATTTGTCTGTAGCATTAGCAATGTCTCTCTCTCCTTTTTTTTGTTGCTTTTTTTCTCTTTTTTGGATGGCCTCCCTTCTCCCCTTATAGCCATCTTGTCCACACCATTATGTTTTTTTTGTAAAGACAAAATAGAGAGAGAGAAAAACAGAAAGAAGTAATTAGAAAGATAGAAAGACTGAAATAGCGATTAGGATTATATTAAATATACACCAACAAAACACAGGTCCACACACCCAACATCTGTCCGCTCACCTGAAAAATAAATGGATAAATACATAAAGGGCATATATAAAAATACACACATACCCATACATATATAAAGATATACATACATACATGCCTACATTCATAAATATTGTCCGTATATACACACAGACAYRTATACACACTCAGTGACCTGTCAGAACCCCCCGGATCAGAGCACCTGTTTGTGAGCAGTTGTGAACATGCGTGTATATACAAGATTTCTCCAATGGAATATTTAATAGTGACTGTGGAGGACCGAGACCCAACCCCCAAGACACGGCAGACGTAGGGAAGTCCACAGTCCAAGGGCCTGAGAGGAATCCCGAGCGCAGAGCCCCAAGGGGCACCCGCACGGGAAGATCCGCCCACCCACCCCCCAGATCAGACCATAGGAGAGAACTGGGAGAGTCCCCCCCAGCGACCACACGCACAGCCCCCGTGGCCAGCAGCGACAAACTCATGGGCCCCACCGGCACCCGCCATACCAAAGCAGATCCAGGAAAGGGCACAGAGGTCCGGGCCCCCAGGGCGCACCCCCTCCAGGCCAAGGTCCGACAGGCCCAGAGGCCCCGAGCCCCAACAGGCAGTCACCAGGCCAGGCCGGCACACACCCCAGCGCCCAGCCCCAGACCCCGGGAACATCTCTCTTCTTGAACCATTTAAGTGATTTTAATGAGATTTTTTGAAAGTAATCACTAGATGGAACATCTACAACTAATTACTTTTAGAGTCAAATCCGTTCAAGATGGCCACCACCCATTACCAAACACCAAGATGCCTATAATTCAGTCAGTTTTACAAATATGCAATCCTCCAAGGAATGCTAGTCCTTTAATTAAGGTGACTGCAGTGATTAGTAGCTGAGGAGCACCTACCTGTGCAGCAAAAGCCAATCTGGCTGCGGGACACTGCAGAGACATGTTATCATTGAAGAAATATGTCTCCCATTTGCAATGAAATCTACCTGCACGCGAAACAACTTTCTTTTGGCATCGTCAAGGGATTAGTGCTGTAATAACAAAGTGCCATCAGAATAATTGCTACAGCAGACAGTTAAAGTGCATGTGTCCACAGAGGTTGCACAACACTGCTTCAGTCTGGGATAACAGACACTGCAAGTGTTTTGAACAAAAAAAAATTGAACTGTAAGAAAAAATAAATAAATAAAATGAAAAATACTTTTTCTTATTTCACCAAGTAAAATAGAAAACAATAAAAATGTTTAAAAAATGGATTGCAATGGTACAAAATACTTCATAAATTTTGACGTTTTCTCCAACGACATTAAATTGGCATAACTTTAAAACCTTTATTTTGTAGGTGTTTTCATGTATGACTTCTATATTGATGTTTCTGGAAAATGATTTGTGAGATTACATTTATGCTTCCCGTTTTTTTGTTTGTTTATTTTATTTTTATTAAATTTAGCTTTTGTGTGTGTGTTGTTTTCTTCCCTGTGCCACTCAAAGGCCCAATTTACAACCTCTGTAAACCTTTGTGTTTTTTCAGTGTTTATGGGGCAAAAAAACCCCAAAACATGCTGCAGTGGTTCCACTGTAGTTTCCTTACTGGCAGGGTTGCCAGATAGGAAACGGTGAACTTTTGTGCTGTTGTGTTAAATTTATTGTATTATGACTCAAATTGTCGTGTGTTTAGTGAACATGTTCACAGAAAAGTACAGAGCAAGAAAACACATTGTTGTGTTTATCTGGCAACCCTGGCAGCAGGATCACAGTTAACATTAGAGGATGTTGTTGGTTTTTTTTTACATGCTGAACAAGGATAAACAGCACAATTATAATAACCTTTATTTTAACCAGGTCAAGAGGCAGAAACACATAAGGACATGTAGCAGTGACAAAAGCAAAAAACAAGACAACAACAGCATAAACTAACATACATAAAACATAATATACAATAAAAACAAGGGAAAAACTAAAAACAGGGATATGGTACATCTGAATGTATAGAAGAAGAGCAGAGTGAAACGAATGAGTCAAACGTTTTGCAGATGGTTCCTCACCTGCAGCGAGGAGCTGAAATGAGGACCGACCAAAGGAGGTATACATGCTCTCAGTACAAGAAGATTGATGAGGTCGCTAGAACGTAGACTGCAATTTAGAAACACTGCTGTCTGCCATTTACTGTTATAGTTGTTAGTGCAGAAAAATGTTTGGCTGCAGCCGCCTGTGTGTGTATGTACCATTTGTGTGTGTGTGTGTGTGTGTGTGTGTGTGTGTGTGTGTGT